AAAGGCAGTAGATGTTGATGGATGTCATATCGTTCAGTTGTGTCGGTTTGTGTTTTCTATGCTCTGTGCCGTACAGCCGGGTGTGGGAGGGGCCCGCTGGGTGACCTCTGACCCCGCCTGCCATTAATCACTCCGCTCCTGATGGGTCTGTCCCACTGGGAACATCAACCCAGCAAGGCATGATGGGAGGGTCAGCCTGGGGCCAATCAGAGCGCAGCTCCAGCCAACAGTGGCGCCACACTGAACTACAGGAACCTCAGCAACCGTGAACCTACCCTGTTTATTTAGTTACTGTCGGAGAGGGTTACACTGAGCTTCTGTAAATTCAGGTTAAATTTACATATAGAGAAAGCTAATATATTATACATATTTATATAATATAAATTTTTTTGTTGTTGTTGAAAGAAGTACTTTCTGCTCACCAAGGCTGCCTTTATTTGTTAAAAATACAACAAAAACAGTAATATTGTGAAATATATTTACTAATTCAAACAGCTGTTTTCTATGTGAATATGTGTTAAACTGTCATTTATTTCTGTGATCAAAACTGTATTTTCAGCATCATTCCTCCAGTCTTCAGTGTCACGTGATCTTCAGAAATCAGTACCCTTTAAAAGTTTGGTGTCAAGATTTTCTTCTTTGAAAGAAATGAATAATTGTATTTATTAAAGATGCATTAAATTGATCAAAAGTGACAGCAAAGACACTTATTTTGTTACAAAAGATTTCTATTTAAAATAAATGCTGTTCTTTTGAACTTTCTGTGAATCCTGAAAAATAACATGCATCACAGTTTCCACAAAAATATTGTGCAGCACGACTGTTTTGAACATTGATAATAATCAGAAATGTTTCTCGAGCAGCAGATCAGCATATTATACTGATTTCTGAAGATCATGTGACACTGAAGACTGGAGGAATGATGCTGAAAATACAGCTGCGCATCACAGAAATACATTACAGTTTAACAGAGATTAAGAAACCCCAAACTGAAATGCAGTGTTTATATTGAGCGTATAGCTGTGTTGAGTATTGTGTGTGATGTAGCTGCAGTCAGTATTAATCATTCAGGGTTGTTTCTATTGTGTGTCGTCCGTTCTCTAGTCTCTGTGCGCGCTTGTACCTATAAAAGCTTGGCTTCCTGCTGACCGGCGTTTTAATTCAGCCATCAATAACCTCAGGCTGACCTCTGACCCCTGATTGTTTGATGGTCAGAGATGTTTCTGGAGCAGATGACGTGATCTGAAACACACCGTCTGGTCTAATGTTAGCATGTTCTCCCAGAATGCTGACCGCCGTCTGAAGTGCTTTTGTTGTCATGTGTGCGTGTCGGGGCGCGTCACACGACCTTTGAACTGTGACTGTTTTTCATTGCACATTCTTGCATTTCTGTTTTATGTTCTGCTCTGTAGAGCGAGATCATAAAGCCGTCGTGTGAGTGGTTTCTATAGGACGCTGTTGATAAGAATCAGTGTTAGATCAAAGTCTGTGTGTCCGTTCTGATGATCATGCATCATGATTAATTTTGAGATTTTGGTCTATTCTGCTTCCATAATGTGAATAGTTAAACGAAGCATCCAAGAAGCATGCTTTATTACACTTTATCTGTTTGTGTCTGTTGATTTTTATTAATGCAATTCATACCTTTAAAAGTTTTTCCTCCACTTCAGCAGCACTTACACACACCAAAACTGAGTTTTATTCCTTTCTATATTCTGAAGGATTTTACTGAAGGGTTTGTTCATGTATTATTTGCCTGGTTTTGTTATTGCACTTTGATCTAATTGCATCTCTAGGCTTAATTAACAATGCATATTTTCCATTTTCTTAAAATGAGTTTGTTTCTCCGTTTCAGCAGCACTTACACACAGAGTTTATTTCTATGTATATTCTAAAGGTGTTCACTGCAGGGTTTGTTCATATGTCATCCATGTGGATTTATTATTGCATTTTTGCATTAATTTACAATACATTTTTTAAAAATGAGTTTTTTCACCAAAAATTAGTTTTATTCCTCTCTATATTCTGAAGGATTTTTCTGAGGGGTTTCTTCATATACCATTCACACTGATTTATACATTTTATTCCTAAAAGCATGATTAAAATGTTTTTTTTTTGTCATTTGACAGTATTTTCTGATTTATGGAGTGATAAAAATAGAATTCCAAAATCTTTCATTTTAATACATCAACAAAATCAAACAAACATTTTGAACCTGGCTTTAGGTTTATGTTCAGATGCAAATCAGTGCACATTTAATTAGATAATGCGTCATTTGCATATTTAAACAAAAACCTGTAAATACAAAACAATTATCCTAATGTACTGTGATTAATGAACTGGGGAAAGTATTGTGCTATCTGTTAGTTAACACCCTGTTCTCCTGTCTGAAGGTTTCTCCTATAGATACATAAATGGGTTTTATTCCAGATCACGATCAGAGGGAGCCGCTGTGTACTTTTCATATGAGCGTTTAACTCTACAGCAAGCGTCTCCACCTGCCCCTGACCTGAAGATAAGCTGTTGACAAGATTAATGCATGGCTATCAAAAGTCTGGGGCGGGTTGGCTCTGTTATCCAGGTTAAGCTTGTTTGTGTAAAGCTGGCTAATATGTATTTTTCCGCCCGCAGCCCACCTGTCTTTTGAAGTGCGGGCGACTCGAACTCTCACCTCTATACAAACACATCTAACATGTGCAATTCAGTGCATTTATGGTGTAAAAATGAAACGTGGGTGTTACTGAAAGCTGTTATATGAACTAGTGTGACTGTTTTTTGTTTTTGTTTGAAACATCAATGGAAAAAGAAAACTCCAATTTAATATGTTGTGAATTTTCTTTTATCTTCTGTTGCTGTTTATTTGTTTGTTTGCTTTTGTAAATGTGAGTGAGTGTGAGTGCGCGTGTGCATGTGAGTGAGTGAGTGTGTGTGTGTGTGTGTGTGTGTGTGTGTGTGTGTGTGTGTGTGTGTGTGTGTGTGTGTGTGTGAGTGAATGAGTGAGTCAGTGTGTGAGTGTGTGTGTGAGTCTGCATGCATCCGTGCGTGTAAGTGTGTGTGTGAGTCTGCGTGCATCCGTGCGTGTAAGTGTGTGTGTGAGTGTGCGAGTGCGTGTGTGAGTGTGAGTGTGTGTGTGTGTGTGTGTGAGAGTCTGCGTGTGTGTGTGTGTGTGTGAGTGTGTG